AGTGATGGAGCGATCGATCGATGGAGCGAGTGATGGAGCGATCGATCCATGGAACGATCGATCCATGGAGCGATCGATCCATGGAGCGATCGATCCATGGAGCGAGTGATGGAGCGATCGATGGATGGAGCAAGCGATGGAGCGATCGATGGATGGAGCGATTGATCGATGGAGCGAGTCCATATATAGTTTAAAATGGTCAGAAAGTTGGACTTTACACAACTATGAAACTTTGTGTAGTTGTTTTATAAAACTTGCAGTTTCGTTAAAATCCTAATACCGCGTTGGAACACTTTACCGTATTTTTCGGCCTATAAGTCTCGGGGGGGGGGGGGGGGTTGCATAATTTGCATGCCCTGCGACTTATACTCTGAAGCAACTTATTTATGGATTTTTGTTCCATATTTTAAACCAATTTTTGGCTGAGATACGACCATTTTCATTCACTGACTGAAAATATTGAACACTACTATTTTCAGCCACTAGATGGCACTCGAGTGGTATGGCATGCCTTTGTATCATGTAATAGGTAAAAGTGACTATTAATGACACAATCTGCTTGCCATGCCACCGGCGTCCAGCTCGCCTGGAGCAACCTTCTAATCAGATTATTTTTGCTGCGCTGCCCTGGTGAAATGCAGCTAATTTAACTACTGAAGTGCATTTATTAAGTAAAATTTAAACTGAGACACATCTTTACTATAATTTCGAGCAAACAAATAATTGTTGTAGGTGGTTATCTTGTTAAATTTTGAAGAAATGCACAGCGAGTCCTCCCATGCATTGCCTAATTCTGCGTATCTGCTTTTGAAATGCAGCTGATTTGACCGTCAAAGTCCTTTTATTAAGTAAAATTTAAACTGAGACACATCTTTACTATAATTTCGAGCCAACAAATAATTGTTTTTAAGTGTTAATCTTGTTAAAGTCCTCCCATGCACACTTCCATGGCCACCATTTGGCAGCCAATTGATTTTTGGCACAACACCGGCCCACATTTCCGGGTTCGGACCACATTTTCTGTTTGTCAGTGGTGGCGCGTAATAGATGTGACGTATAGAGCGGAAAGTACGGTAAATATTGAGCTATCAAACTCAATTTTTGTTTAAATTTTTATTAATGTGTGTTTTGTTTACGGTTCAGGCTGAGCAGCCCTTTCATATACTTTTTTTAAATTTTGCTCATAAATAAAAATATATGAGTAACACGTATCAAAGTCAACAAGTACAGTTTTATAAGGTTATGTTTATTTTCCTCTTGAAACTGATTTTATCTTTGTACATGAAAAATGTCCTTTGAGCTCAGCTGGCTCGGCCTCTGACAAAAAGAACAATTTCTACCAATAAAAACACTAAATTTGGCAAAGCGGCAAGTTTCACAACAAGAGCCGAGTTCACTTTGTTCAGATTATAATCCATCGTTTGAGCCCTTGCGAAGCTCGGCCTTCTGTTCCGGATCACAAACCGATGATGAAGGTCGCCGTTTGCTCTTTCGTAGGTTCAACCTCGCAGTCCTGCAGACGACACGAGCTGTGAGCAGTGTCAAACATCAGGACACAAAGGAGAGGAGGTCGTCTTCTGCAGCAGACGGTCCTCCGGAGCCATGGCAACGGCAGGATGGTGCAATGGGAGGCTCGACCAGAGGTAAGAGATGAACGAGCGTGGAGGTGGAGATGGAAATAAAAATGAAGAGAATCTGGACGAGCAGCTCGTCTGGAGCTCATCCTCACCTCTTTAGCTTCTCCCTCTTTCAGCTCAGTTTCGTGTAAAAGGACAGAGTACCTCTGACTCAACGTTGCTGATTTTAAACAGTTTTAAAGAGTTTAATTTGTTCTTTTGCAAAAATAATGTGAGCTGACAGAGTTCTGAACACCTGATCTCCTGCGGCTCTTCGGAGAATAAAACGTACTTCTAGCAGGATCTCTGTGCAACAAGAGTCATCGCATCAAGACTGTCTCTGGAGATCTGCAGCTCTTCATAAATATCCTACACAGCAGTACTCCGACCCGGTAGAGGGAAGGCCGTCGGTATCCCACAGCCGGGCTCCAAACTCCTTAGTCTATGAACCTCTTGGATCCCTTGAAATTCTCCCTGGAACTCCTGGACGCTCCCTGGAAGTCCTTGTGTTTCACCTGGAAGTCCATGGTGGGGAGTCCTGAGCTCTCTAGGGGGCATGGTCGCCATGGCATCGGCAGCCTGAAGTGAGCGTGGCTCAGGTGGACTGAGGCTGTTATAGTTCAGGTCCATGTTGGACAAGAGGTGGCCCAAGGAGTCCCAGCGCTGAGACAAAGGCAGGCGGATCAGGGAGGAGTAACCCCGGTCAGGAAACACAGTGGCCACGGGCGGCTTGACGGTCTCTGACATGAGATCATGGTTTTCCCTCAAAGGCAGCGGGGCAGGCATCAGGTAGGTGCCCCCTCGTGGGTCAGCCAAGACCTCACTGTAAGGTGGAGGGGCATCCTCCATCAGGACCGCCTCCTCGTAACAGGGTGGCTTCCCAAAAGCATCCGTCTCTGAAAAGAAGAAAAAGACAGCAGATTAAAGATCAGACTGAAAATGTCTTAAAAAGGACAATGTTCTCCGTTCTTCAGAGGTCTGACGGTGAGCACGTTTCATCTGGTTGTTTCAGAGCACATCCGTAAAGGATTTATCACCCGCAGTCATGAAAGGCAACTAATCAACCTTAGCTAACACTAAAATAGATATTACTCAGTCGGTTGTATAGATATAAAGCTACATGTGGTGTGGTAGTAGCTGAGCGTCATCCCCAACACATTTTCTGAGCTCATCAAGAGACGGCGTTGTTTGAAAGGTGCCGAGTGATGCAGGTTTCTTCAAGAAATCCTCTTTCATCAGATTGTTCAGGTCAATAACTGTAAACTCATCGCACGTTGTTTCGTAGGAAACACTGAAACAGTTTATTCCCAAACCAACGTGAAGCTGCTGCGACGTTCGTTAGCGCCACAACCAGCAGTTACATAAATGATGACATCATCTGCAAACGTGCGACTTCAAACCTCTTCACAACTCCAGGTAAAAATAGTAAACGCAAAAGAGCAATGAATAGTTGTCAAATGCTTACCGTACTTTTCAGACTATAAGTCGCATCTTTTCGCATAAATTAGCAAATCCTGTGACTTCTACAGCGAAGCGACTAATGTTTTTCCCATATTTATTACTAATTTTTGGCTGAGATATGACAATTTCATTTAACATTGAAAATATTGAACACTACCATTTTCAGCCACAAGAGGGCCCTCGACTAATATGACAAGCCAAGTGTCTCATTATTAGGTAAACATGGCTTTTAATGAGACACTTGGCTTGCCGTACCAAGCCGCCTTCGTCTCACTCCGCAACTCAGGGTAGAAGCTGTTCCTCAGTCTAGTGGTTCTACACTTAATGCTCCTCAACCTCCTTCCTGAGGGGAGTGGGGCAAAAAGTGTGTGTGCTGGGTGAGTGTGGTCCTTCATGATGCAGGTGACTGACTCCAACATCTTCTGTGCAGCCTCCGTGCCACACGTTGATGCTGGAGCACAGGATGCTTTTTTCATCAGGCTGGTGGTGTGGTTGCCCCAGCTGAGGTTGTCATTCATGTGTACACCCAAGTACTTGTAGCTGGAGATGGAAGATCCAGTCCCCAGAGTAATGTTGTGTATGCTGTTCAGTGTCAGGAGGGTGATCAGTTCAGTCTCTGCAGGACGAGTTTGTTAACGGACAATAACATTAACCAATCACAGTTGATGTAGAGTGGACCAAAACTCTGAGCCTTCGGGAAGGCCTTGCACGCTGTTTGTTGACCACATGATTTGTGATGCGTTCAGTCGCAACCTGTGAACTCAATAATCCACACAGAAATTGTAGTCGGTCTAAAAAATGAAGGTTAAACGTCAAATTTAGGTTTACATCGATGATGTTCAGTATAATGTGTTTTGGTTTCATTACATGAAGAGATTTTACAGAAACAGTGAGTTCTGTATATTACTGTTAAACTTTAGCGTGGATTGCTGAAATTACACGTTGTACTTGAATGCAACAGCCTGAGTGAGCCATGCTGCATGCTGGGTAATATTGGGACAGAAATGGGTGGACTTGGTTGGTTCTTCTGTTTAGTGTTGGGATGGTTGTTCTGGTTGTTGTTAGTGACTGAAAAAGAAATGTCACTTCCTGTTCAGAGGATGTGGACGGTGAAACTGAAAGTTGTCATGAAGTTGAACTCTGTAGCGACAACTGTTACAACCGTTTTCTCTTCAGACACAAAGACGTCTTCAGAAAAGCCGTGCTTCGTGGGAAAATGTCTCCGTGACAAATCTAAATGTCTTTTCGTGTAGGACAAAGAGTCCGTTTGAAAACAAACAGGAATGTGTTTGTGATTTACACAGAGTTAGTCAGGAAGAGACGACCGAGCTGCTCAAACGTGAATCTTTTATATTTAGTCCACAGATTTATTTTTCCTCTCTGGTGCTCGCAGCAGGTCCGTTTCATCGTCTTTAACGTGACAAACCTAAAGAACTGATCTGTAGTGGTGTGTTGAACGGCTCTTTGTGAACCGGGTCGGGCCCCATCGAAGCTTCTGAGGAGAAACCAGCTTCAAGTCGGCCCACGTTTCTCTGCAGGCACAGAAACAGCTGTTTGCTGAGCCGTTGCCATGGAGCCCGGTGGATTCATGGATGCAAATGTGTGTGTGTGTGTGTGTGTGTGTGTGTGTGTGTGTGTGTGTGTGTGTGTGTGTGTGTGTGTGTGTGTGTGTGTGTACCTGTCCACCTCCCCCCGTCATACCTGACACACACACACCTCCAGGCTCTGAGTCTCTTTGTTTGTCGTGTCAACAAGCAGCTTTAAATAAACAGATTCCACTCAAATCATTACTCATCACTTCTGATTTACAGCCTGACTGAACGCTGACTCAGCAACGCTGATTTTTAGTTCTTCCGTATATTTTTTTACAATCCGACAAACGTTGTGCTGATTTATTATCGTTCTTATACTGAAACACTCGATTAATTCAGGAAAATGATTGTGGCTGCTGCGACTTTTAGCAGCTTTTATACGTTTTAAATATTTAACTTTATTTACAAAGATTTTCCAATAAAACCACACGGAGGTCTCTTCATACTGCCTCTGCTTTATCTTCTAGCTGTTAGCTCACCTTCTGCTACTCTGAACTAGCCTTTTGCTACTGTTAGCTTCTAGCTAGTCTTTTGATAATTTTAGCTTCTAGCTTTTATTTTTAAACATTTAGCTAGCCTTTGACTACATTTAGTTTCTAGCTAGCCCTTTTATAGTTTTAGCTTCTAGTTGTGCTTATGATACTTTTAGCTTCTAGCTTTTATTTTTAAACATTTAGCTAGCCTTTGACTACCTTTAGCCTCTAACTAACCATTTATTATGTTTAGCTTCTAGCTAGTCTTTTAAACTTTTAGTTTCCTGCTTTTATTTTTAAAAATTTAGCTAGTCTTGTGATACTTTTTGCTAGCCTTTTACTATGTTTAGCTTCTAGTTAGCTTTGTGATATTTAG